TAGGAGTTAATTCTCTATAATTGATTGGAATATGAATTATATAAATTTCAAAATTGATATTTTTATAGATTTTTGCAGTAGATTTGAAGTTCGGTACTCCCAGTTGCCTGCGACATCTTCTAAAAATGATCAAAATATAAAGAAAAATATATAAAGCTGACACCATTTCAAAATTATTAATAAAAATACCCGTTTTCTCAATTTATCTTTATTTATTATTGAGGTACTGTGGTTTAGCTTTCTTCTTTTCTTTGGAAAATTCCCACTTTTTTTGTATCAACTGCAAAAATTAATCTCTCCTAAAAATAGATCCCTTTCAATAGAAATAAATCTCTAATGTCAATTCTTTGTAATTTGAATTTGATAAATCGAATCATATTTCGATGTTCAAGAAAGGAAAGTTCTATGGGTTACTAACAATTGTCTGGGTTATTTATTGTTACTAGTATTGAAAACTTGAAAAATCTCCAAATGACTTATTGTTGTAGGCCAGGCTTCAATTCATATAATATACCCAAAAAAAGCTGAGTACATCCTTAGCTTTGAAATATTGAATGATGATCATCCCAAATGCAATTATGGATGTTGGAGTTATTAAAAATTACCTAAATTTTTATTTAAAATTTTCTTTTTGGTTTGTCTTATTATTTTAACAATCTTCAAAAATAACTTCCCTGCTGTATGTAGATGTACGTTTGAAAAAATTATTATCTGACATGAAAAAAATATCTCCCAATCCTACCTTGTTGATAACTTTTGTTCCGTTGAATCTTTTGACAAATTCTTCGGGCGTGGCTACTGTGAATGTCTTTTCTTCCAGACGGTTATGTATCATAACGGTTCCCTGGGACATGCTAGGCCTGAAAATTGTAACAAGAGTAAATAAACGGCCGATTTCATAAATGTTTCATAGCATGTACTGTCCCGACCATCAACGACACCTATCGTGATGTAAATGTAACTAGTAGGCAAAATGATGGATGCTTCTGGAAGAAACGGACGAACACCAATGAAGCAAGGAGAAAAGAACAAATTTCGATTTTTTCAGGTAACTACTGAAAACTGTTTTTTCCATAGACTTTTGATTGTTATTATGTGTAATGAAATATTAGGTGAGCTGTAAAGTTCGCAGGCTAACACACAGATGGCGCTACTAGTATTAAATTTTATAGTTAACCCTAACCTACAAAAGTCTTGTGTACAAATTTCATAGCTGTCGGATTGTTAGTGTCTGGGATGGAACAACTTTTGTTAGTTTGAAGAAAACGGTTAAAAAAGAATACCGTGTTGGTGAGTTTAAACGAGGTGAAATGAGCACCGAGTGGACGCTCTAAATATATCAAAAGAAAGTGTTGGGCATAATATCGTGCATGAATATTTGGGTATGCGAAAGCTCTGTTCAAAGTGGGTGCCGCACTCACAATCGACCAAAAACAATAAGGAAGTGATGATTCCGAGCAGTGTTTGAAGCTGTTTCACCATAAAAATATCGAATTGAAATGAAATGCTTTATTCGAATAGGATACATCCTAATATACAACAATGATAAGAATGTTAACATTAATATACATATAAACACAATAATAGAAAAAAAGATCTCGTTAATAAGTAGTATTACCTACGATAATGGAAAATTAATAAAAAAATACATACCTAATAATTTGGTATCACCTTAATGGTCTCTTAAATGGTTTAATACATTTCTTTTGAACAGAATAAGACTGTTGGAAGACTGCATTTTCAGGTAGACTGTTATACTTAATAAATCCTTTAAAAATTAATGTTTACTGTTGAAAGTTTTTGTTTGATTATTCACATACATATTATTTCTTATTCTAGTATTATACTGATGATTTTGATTATTAAAAATTACAAATTTGTCAAAATATGAAGGTAGAAGGTTATGCAACATTTTGTAAATATATATCATCGTTAAATATGTATTTTTTTTATTGAAATATTCCAACAGTTGTTGATATACTATTGATTCTAACAGTTTTTCAGCGCAAGGCAATTGGCCGACGATTTATGCGTCGATATGTGAAAAAAATTTAGCATGGGCTTGAGGTCTAACACTGTAATTCTTTCAATGAAAAATCAAATAGTGTTTTGGGACCACCACAGGCCCTTTTGGTCCTCACCTTTCAATTATCGTCAGGAACCGTTTACAATTTCGAATAATTCACAAAATAGGTTTACCTTGCAAGCGGTTGGACTTCAACAAAAATCTGGACACAAACAGGTCAGGTCTGATCCAAAAACGAGATAAAAATCAAAATAAGGTATTCGAAACTAACAAATCTTGCGTTTATCCTTTCAATAGAAACGTCAATACAATGCTATAAAACAAAAGAGAACTGATAAGTCAGGGACGGGGAAATAATTAACCATTTGTTGTCACTTTGAAGTACAGTTAATTATATGGATGAATGAGTTTGTTACAATAACATGAGAATATTATTGGAGACTTTTTTTATTTCTAAATCAAATGCCGCATTTATTGGCATTTGAAATAAGTTCGCCTTATTTTCATAACATTCTTGTTTTGCCTCTTTCCGCCGTCCTAATCGGGTTCCTTACTTATTACGTTTACACCAAAAAGTTGCCAAACTTTTCAAGTGGAACCGGTGTGAAAAGAAGAACTCTCTGACGGATAGTCGCTGTAGTCGATGAAGTTGCGGCACTAAATTAACTTCAATAAAACATGAGGTTGTAACAGAGGCCAGTAAAATTATCCGTTAGACTTTTATCACACTCTTGAGTGATTAAATGGTATATATCTAGAATGTTTTATTTTTATAAATAAAACAGTTTATAGGGTTGCAAATTATTTCTACATATCTATATTGAAGATTTTAATTTTAAATTTTTCATTCTTGTTAATAATTTTTTAATTTCATCTCGTGTTAATAGTTCTTTTTTTTG